CAGAGATACACGCTCTGTCGTGTTCACAGTAAAATTTCAAGTCTCTTCCAGTCTGATCATCACGAATAAGTGTTGATTATCCTGATCGGCCAGTCTAACCGCACGATGGCCGCCCCCCCACTCCCGTCATCTATTATATTTAGGCGCGTGACGGCTGGCCGGCGTTCGCACCGTGCCCTCTCCCTCCACCACGCCCGACTTTGCTGGTGCACCTCATATTTTGGTCAGCGAAGTGAGTAAATACTTCACTGTGGCTGCTTTCTTTGTCTCATTGTTTAGCTTAGAACCTTTTTTCCTTTTGTCTGGAGTTAACATCCACGCACTACTCTGTCATTGTGTTATTGTTGCACAGAGACAATTCTATGGTCATTCGTGGCTATTCGGCTGATTGATGACGGGAAAAGGCAGGGGAGAGGGAGCGAAAACAAGTTGCCTTCTTTCCAGTCGAACTCCATAAGAATTTAGCGGCACCGGCTTCCTTCACGACAGACGAGCGTGCCAGTGAACATCACCTAATTGTCTTAATGCCCATACCCGTCGGCTAATTGCGCATTAACGAGCCAGAATGAGAATAACCATGCGCTCCGATGACAGGCTGGCCCTCCCGGGGGGTGGAGGGAGTTATCTTTGCGAGAATTGGCAGCTGCTGCCGACATTGGTGCCCGGAATTGATTTTCTTTGAGGCTGCCAGTGGCGTTTCAAGTTAGAATGTAATCTTCCAGTACATCGTCTGTAGATTGTATTCATGTGCCTTTTTTTAGACCTCTTTACTTCGCTGATGAGGCCATTGAAGGTCAGGATGAGATGTGAGAGAGGCAAGGACGATGAAATTGGATCTTGACAGGCGCTAGAAACAACCCTCGGTACATCTGCGCAATTTAATGAGCGCAATTGTTAGCCTTGGTATGATACAGTACAGTACACATGTGACATGCCCATATTTTATGACGATTACCTCGGTAGCAACATCAATCAAAATTGAGTAAAGATAATGTAAGGAGAAAATCAAATGTCCTCTAAATTTAGCACTCCCAGAGAAGCGTTGTTAACAACCTTGGCAACTTGAATGATTAAATAAATGGCGAAGTATCACTCCGTTCTCTTGGTCCTCAAACACTGGAGGCAGTATCACGGTGCTTTTTTCACGTGGCGACACCGAGGCGCTCTAAAGCAGCTACGCCAGCATAAAAACCCCTACCCACATACTGGTTGTTATGTCGGACATTTAATTTTCAACCTTACCGGCACCTCTCCTTGATGTGCATGCACTCATTGCTGACAACGAGGCGCTCTAAAGCGGCCATGCCAGCAGACTATGTTGAGGTAAAATGTATTTTTCGGGTGGAAGGTGGCTCGTACTTCCTCCCACATTCCAAAACCATGCCTGGGAGACTGATTGAGCACTCCAAATTGTCCCTAGGTGTGAGTGTGAAGACGGATCGTTGTTCGACTCTGTGTGCCCTGTGATTGGCTGGCAACCGGTTCAGGGTGTCCCCTGCCTACTGTCCGAAGACAGCTGGGATAGGCTCCAGCATGCCTCACGACCCTTGTGAGGATTAAGCAGATCAGAAAAAGGATGGATGGATGGATGGATGGATGGCGGCTAGTGAACTGCACTTTGCAATTGCGCTAGATGACCACTGTTGGCGTTCATGTTCTTATGTAGCATATGCCCAAGTAAGTATGTCACAGGAAAATTGGAATGGGTTCATGGTTTAGCGCCACAATCGAGTATTGCATAACTCTCAGTCTGTGAATTCGTTTCAGCAATTGTTTTCAAACATGCGTACTGTGTTTCGAGACAGACCAGACCAGGTTCAGCCTGGACCAGGTGCCACCTCAGTCAATGCCCTCATGAAGAGAAATGTTATATAAAATGGATGGAGGTCTCGTTTTGGATCACATTGAATTTCTCAGGAGGGAGGGATTGTTTAAATGGAGCTGAGGAGCATCAAAAAAAAGAAAGAAAAAGGAGGAGGAGGCACCAGTGTCCATGCTGTGTGGGCCTGTTGCTCTAATGCTTCTCCAGAAGAGATCAAATCTGGAGGATGGAGAGCGAAAAGACGATTAAGACAGGAGGACATTGAGGGGGATTGTCAGGGAGAGGAGACACACACACACACACACACACACTGGCTTGGTGCTGCTGTGCTTCATATCTTGTGCCACCTACATGATTCTTCCTCATCTTGCTTGTTGCTGCTGAAGCCTCCTCGCTGCAGCCAGGCCTTGTCTCGCATCTTATTCAACTTGGGTCAGATTTGCTCTCTGCAATTTCTTGAAAAAGGCACAACAATGGTTCTCAAACAGCGTGGTGGGAGGAATGCTATTATGGAAGTGTAAATTGTAAAATGACAAGGGTCTTACAGGCCGAATAAATGTTTCTGATGCCTTACTAAGTACCGGTAATCATTTTAGTTTTTTTCATTATCAGCCTAACAAGTGGTGCCTTGATTTAAAAATGACCTGATTTACTGTACATGTTTCTTGAGAAACCAATTGTCGCTCAGATTATTTTTTTGCGTTCACTTGACTTCACTAGAAATGAGTAGGTGCTAGTCTTGTTGGATTTCAATGCAGCGATGATACAGTAGATCATAATATACTGTTGAACAGGATGGAAACTAAGGACTAAATGGTCATGGTCCTAAAATGCTTCAGGTCCTATTTGAAGTTTTGAATCTGATTGAATGACCATGGCGTGTCTGTGGTTCCTCAAGGATCAGTCCTTGGACCCCTTTTGTTCAGCCTGTATCTGATACCCTTGGGTCAAATTGTATACTGTATTGTCCATGTGAAGCACAGTGAGTTATTTTGTGCATGACATGCACAGTATAAATAAAGTTTTCATGGCATTTTCATTAATTTCAATGGGGAAAGATGACATGAGATGCATTGTGTCTTTGAAGTCTGGAACTATGGCTTGATTTTTACCCTTATGACCAAACTGAAGCCAGAGTGCATTGTTTGAATGTTGGCCCATAGTGTCGCTTCTGTAGGTTCTGTAATTTCGCAATCAGATGAGCCGGCAGGAGATCGCTCCCTGTGTAGGCACCCGATGTCCTGAGGGCTTGAACGAGGCAAGTCTTATTTGACCCTGTTCATGATAAGCAGTGTTGAAAATGGATGGATGGATGGATTTACTTTACTTGTATTTTAACCATCCCATTATGATGCATTACAGTTCTACACGACACCGTACCGCGATGATGACAATTACTAACTCTCCGACAGTGCCAGGGTCCGACTGGCTGCTTTGCCAACAAAGTTGTGTGATAGCAACCAGAAAATAAATATCCACAGTCGTTTTGTGTTTTGCACGACTATCTTTATTTCTATTCGGGTACAGATTGTGAGCAATTTTCCACTTCTGGAAGATAGAAGGATCACATGTGCATGCTTTGCCGATGATTATGTTCCAAGAGCACAATCATCGGGAATGCATGTTGTCAGCCTTCTGCAGAAAACAATTCATTATACAAATTTCAATATGTGTGTGTGTGTGTGTGTGTGTGTGTGTGTGTGTGTGTGTGTGTGTGTGAGTGAGCAAAACATACATAATGAATGTTGTTTTTGCTATATTATGATAATAAATCTGCTTGCGCTTTCAGTGCAGCTGACACAGATTGAGTCATGTCTAATGCAGGAGGCGTCTTGCTTTGGCTCGAACGCAAAGACGCAGGAGGCTTGAATATGGAAACACAAAAGGAGGAAAAAGCGTGTGGAAACATTAAACGTGCCACTAAAACGCTCAGAGTCTACTGAAACACTCTTAGACCTCCATCCATCCATCCATCCATCCATTTTCCAATCCGCTTTTCCTCACAAGGGTCGCGGGGGGGGGGGGTGCTGGAACCTATCCCAGCCAACTTCGGGCAGTAGACAGGGCACACCCTGAACCGGTTGCCAGCCAATCGCAGGGCACACGGAGACGAATAGGGTCAGAAGCTAACAGGCTTCCAACCCTACAACACATACTATTTGAGTTGATTTTTTATTCTATTTATTTGCATTTTGCAGACTTGTTAACAACGCTCTTCTCTGTGGTGGGCCAAATTTATCAGACTTGTTTTTCACTTGATGGGGTTTTTCAAGACCAGTGGAGATGGTGGCTCATTTATTGCCATGCATGCTTGCATTTAAATTAAGCACTTAATGGACCTATTGAAAGAAACTTGCAAATGGCATGACTGGTTCTTGAATATTCATTAGCACTGATGGTATACATTTCTCTTTCAAGTATGGGCCACTCATGAATTTTACTTGTATCGCGGTTCTTTTTCCAACCGATGTGACAGTTTCAAATGATGACAATTTTTTTTCCACCTTGAATTTTGTGATACAAATGTGAGGGTTTATGCTTGCACATGTTGGTATAAATCAACTTTTTTTTTATGCGAGTTGTTCAAAGGTTTTCGATTTCTTGTCATTATGGGCTGTTGATGGTAAGCCCGATGAGCTCCACCGGTAGTGCTCAGTGAATGGGCAGCCTCACAGTCCGCAGCATTTGGGTTTAAATCTCAACTGTGGCCTTCTTGTTTGGAGGGTGCATGTTCTCCCTGTGCTTGCGTGCATTTTCTCCATGTCGTCTGACCTGTCCCACATTCCAAAAACACGCTTGTTAGTTTTCGTGAAGGCTAAATTTCGTGAAGAAAATACATGGACGTGTGCGGAGAACAGCAATCAGAATCTGAAAATGCACACTACCTGTGCAGCATTGAAAAGAAAAATCAGGGGATAGATTTTTTTTGTTTTGTTTTGTTTCCCCGACAGGAAATCATGACTTAAATGATCCCATGAAGAGCCATTGATTAGTTTATCACTTGACTTGAGTTTATGGTTCTTGTTTCTGATGACTTTACCGTCGGAATGTATGATTCATTTTCAAGTTTTTCCTTTTCACCTTTGCTTGCGCAATTGAACAGTTTTGGCGAATTGGCCCTTCATTCCAGTGAAATTCTTTTTAACATGAACGTTTGGGTTGTTGTTGTTGTTCACAGGGGAAGGAGACGACAGAGGAGGAAGATGAAGTGGCCGTGGGGATGGACAAAGGATTCATGGATGAATTCTTTGAGCAGGTGGATTTTTGTCTTCTTTTTCACTTTGTCATTTGTTCTTTACACCGTTTTGTTTTATTTATTCATTCATGTAAGTTCACTGATGCGATGCCGGTTGAATTCGGGCGTCCTCGGCAATCACAGCAAAGTTTCAGAATGACATTTTTTCCATAGGGAAATACTGTCATGGAAAGTGAATTCTGCAGCCCAACCTCAAACTCTGACCATCAGGAAACCTTTATTCACTGACTAAGCTATGTTTAAGATAACTTAGCCTTGCTAAATAAAAGTAAAATAAAATATAAAATCTTGAAAAATCCTCAACAATTTGCCATATCCCCCTGAACAGAAAGCTGCTGTCCAACAGTTTTCCCAAATAACTGCAAAATGTAAACAATATACAGTATCATTGCTTGCTTGACTGGTTTGAGCATGTTTGATTGAATTGAGGTTCAAGTGGCCCTTGCATCCTTGCATTTTTTATGAATGCGGCCCTGAAATGAAAAAAGTCTGGACACCCCTGACTTTGGCGGTCTCGCGGCAGTAACTTGCAAATAGCCTGCACGTCAGCACAGTCATCGATCTTGTGCTTTTGTCCTTCCATGGCGTCACTTGGTATGATTTTGTATGATTGGCCTCGTTGTTGGTGGCTTATTTGATTTGATATGTAAATAATTATTGATTGGACCACAGCAGCTTGGCCCACTTCAGCGCTTTCTTCTTCCACTTGACAGCGGAAGTGCGCTGTAAAGTACATTCACATCCGGGAGGTTTTTTTTTTCTTGTACATGTTGTGCATGTGTATCCTGAACATGAATTGAATGTCACAATGGCTCTCAGAAAAGGGGATTTGGGGAGGGGGGGCGTGAGGTGTGTGTGTGTGTGGGGGTGGGGGGTCCTCCCCCAGCCATTGCAAAGGCAGCTACAAAGGTGGTTGTTCTTGGCAATAAATACTCAAGTTGTCAAAGCTACAATGTCATCTGCAGGTGCCTCCATCAAAAAATAAAAATAAAAAAGCCCCAAAACACCGAATTTAATAGGCCTTTAATAGAAAGTATCGGATCAAACAAAAATTTACAGTCAAACAAAAAATGTGGAAATAAAAGGAGAAAAACAAAACAAAAGGCCCCCCCCCCAAAAAAAAAGAAATGATAATTTTTGGCTTTTGTTATGCATATGGTGAGAAATAAAAGAAAAAAAAAGTTCATGGTGTCGATGGAATAACGTGTGAGGGCTAAAAGCCTTCGCACAATTACTAAAAAAGCATCAAGTGCAAGAACCAAATTTTCCAAAACATGATTGTACTTTGATTTTGAAAGCTCGTCATCATCGGTTTGACGAGCATCGTTTTTCATGTGGATTTAAAAGCACTTCCACTTGAATAGTATTTTCTGAATCTTTATTCATTCATTCAATTCACTCTGATCATGAAGAATACCAACAAAGGACCATATTGGACACAAGTACAGAGAAAAAAAAACTACTTCTTCAAGGTTAATTGGGTTACAAAATACATTTTCTCCATCCGCCCCCCCCCCCGAAATAACAGTGATAAAGGCTGCAATCATGACAAGATTGGTGCAATTATAAAGTCCCCTTCACATTTCTTTTCTGCCTTTTATTCTCCTCTGACAGACGGCCTGTAAATTGAAACGTTCATCTCGCTATCTTGTCTGGAATTTCACTTTCACTGGAAAACTACCTTCAAGTGAGAAGGCAGATCGCCACAGAGCGTTTTGCGAATGACAGTGATGTTGAAGAACGAGGCCCGAGATGAAGGTCACGGTGGTGGAAAGGGAGTCATCCTGCGTCTCACCCTGACTGCGTGTGTTAATTAAGCTTTTAAGGGGGGAGGGGGGAGGTGGGGGCGAAGCAGATGACTGCAGTTCCCTGCCCTTCGCATCACACTGGAAACAATGTGTTCGTTTTGGTATCACCGAACCATTGATGGGATTTTTTTTCTTTTTTTTTTTTTTAAGCGGCCAGTTTTTTATATGACAGCATTTTGTGTTCATATGCGAGTGATGTCACTTGATTTGAGTATTCAACTGTTGAACATTTTTACATTAAGGGGAATGTAAAAATTTTAAAAAATGACAAAAATGGTTGGTTTTCATAGGCCTGTCCTGATATACGACACAGAGAGAGAGAAACCACATGGAGTCATATGTCGCATTGAAGATGATCACGGGAAGGATTTCAAACCAGCAGCGATTTTGTCGATATGCCGTAACACAAAACCTCACCAAGCGAACAGCCGTTTTTCCTTGAAAATCTTAAGCGAAAATGTCAACATAAAAAGAAAGCCAGTGTACAACAAACCACATTCAGTCACACATCAAATTAAAGGCCATGATGAGGGATTTCCAGATCTATAGTTGTATTCCTCAATAGGCACGCGTATAATACCAAACTGACCCAAAATATGTTTGGTGTCCTTGTATGATGTCAAAATGCACATCAAACCAACGCGTACCTCATGTTCGTTTTCTTTTTGCCATTGCCTTTTGTGAAGACACAACTCAAGCCAACCAAAAATAACGTATATGACATGACAAGTCACGTGATGTTACTAGTTCAATGTACAGTGCAATTTAAGCTTTATCGGTGCGTATTTGTCATTTTGTGACAAGCGCTTAAGCACCGTCCAGTGTCAGTTGGCTTCTGTTCTTGCTGCTAGCGCGTTCCGAACTGATGATGCAAGTGTAAAGTGAACAGATGCAAGACTTGCTGCCTTCGAATCACTCATTACCAAGCGCACCGAAACAAAAATGTCGTCATTCCTCGTGCTCGCTCCTGTGACTTCATTAGCGGGAGTTGAACAGGATTTCGGGTCCAGGAAATGAGACGGTGGCGGATATCAAAAGTGCAAGCGCACGCGAAAGACATACACAGTAAATCCCTGGAAGTATAAGGGTGTGTTTGTTGTGTTTCTGCATATACTTTTCCACCGCGTCTGATGTTGTTATGCACCCACACTAATGAAATTCGCTCTTGTTGTCTTATGAGAGCGCCATGACTCACCGACACGCGGTCCGCGAGACAGCTCCGAGTGCTTTCATCCTGGCTCACTCATATCGTCCTACCCGTCAAATGCTCACCGTTTGCTGCCTTTTTACACGCTTGCATCAATGGGCCGAGCCAGCAGCCCAGTTTCTCCCCGGGGGGGCCTTCCCAAGCCAATTATGTTGTCATTTGAAATCATAAAATCAAATCAGAATCAGCAGCTAATTAAAGAGTTAACAGGATATTAACCAGTGCATTTGGTACCCAGGCCTGCAGTGGGGGACTTAATCCATCTCTTCATGCCACCACTATTATATCGTGATTATTAAAATTGAAAAAAAAGAAATCTCTACAAAACCACAACTGTTAATGACATTACTTTTATCAGTCTGTTCAAAAGGTCACTTTGAACAGTAGCTGTCAAAATCTCAGTTTGGTTCCGAAATAAAATGAAAAATGAATGAGCTACAGTATGCGAGCGCACATTGGGAACGGCACTGTCATGATAGGAGGATTCGTCTGTCAATCTGGGAATGACACTGTCATGAATGAAGGTTTAGCGTGTCAATCGGTTAAAATCCAATCAAGCAAGCACGGCGCTCTTCTAGCAGACTTGCGACTGTACCCCGTCACGTTGCTCCGAAATGGACAAAATGGACACAATTCAATGGTCAGTCTTGCTCATGACCACGAGTACATGGAATATGTCTGTTTTTTTTTTATTTAAAATATATATTAAAATACAATTTGAAATGATGTAAATTTAAGTGAAAAATAGCACACGAAAGGAGGGTGTATTTAAAAATAAAATGCATTCAAGTTTTTTTAAATAGCACATGGAGTCAATTAGCTTTTAAAATGAAGTCAATATAAATAAAAAACTAGTCCATCGTATAAATATGGCTTTAAAAAAAAGAATGACAGCTAGATATCCAAAGTTAGTCCAAAACTGCTTGCGCCGCTGCAATGAAAGAACTCGGCATCCCTGGATGAGGCAAAAACTGTTTTGGTTTTTGGTTTTGGGTCAGCGTGTGTCGGCCAGTGACAACATGAAACAGGCAGTTTTGTTTTTAACTGGGTCACCGAGTGCAACTTTTAACTTTCACTGACACTTTGCCAGCTGGAAGAAGAGCCGACAGTATATTATTAGAAAATGTCATTTTCCAAAAGTGGATAGTGAAAATCGGCAATTCATTTCCCTCCAACGCACACGCACACACCCACAGCAACAGAGCGCTCACTTCGAGTGGCGTGTGTGTGTGTGTGTGGGGGGAAGCACAAGAAGCCGGGTCTCAGATGTAAAAAGGATAAAAGAATGTCTGATTGAAGTGATGGCCGCCATGTTTGAAGGCAAAAAAAAAAAAAAAGAAGGAAACGGCAGGTAAAACAAAACCAAGCAAATCACCTTCTCAGATTCCGCAGCAGCCAGACGCACTGAAGTACAGGCCGGTGACTTATTTGAGCAGCTGTGTGATGGAATCAAAAATGCAGAGTGAATTTCCCGAGCCGTGGATGAGTCCACTGGCAGCCGCTGATAATGCCCATCTGATGGCGTTTGTGAGATATCAGCATGACTTTTGGTCAAATAAGGATTTTGTGTCAAGATGGCAAGACGGACCGAAATGCTTCTTTTCCATCTTTTTCTTTTGACCACATCATTTATTTCGACTTCTTGAAAGACTTTTCGTGATGTTGTGGTGATACCTTTTTTTTTGTGGCTCATACAATTCCATGGCAGCTATTAACCCTTTCATGCACCAATCATGATAACCTTTAACCTGATAACACTGTCGAAACCTGAAAGGGTTAACATGAACATTTTTTTTTTTTTTTTTTTAATTTTTGGCAACTTACAAAATAAAGCAGACAATGTGTGAATCTTTTGTATTTTTCATTGGAATATATCAATTTGATTGGAGTTTTTGCACACTTTAATTGGGCTTTCAACTAATTGGCTTTGGAGTCAAATGCAAATTCACCTTGCACACAAACTAAGGTTTCCTTCGATGTGTTTTTCTTTTCACCAACACGCTTTCAGTCATCTTAATATGACAATGAGAACGTCACTTTAGTGTAATGAGAGGTTCCTCCGGCCTCGGTGCGTGTCGAGCGGATGCAAATCTATTTGTCTCTCGTTTCCGACAGGTGGAGGAAATCCGAGGTTTCATCGAGTCTCTGGCGGAGAAAGTTGAGGAGGTGAAGAGGAAACACAGTGCCATTCTTGCATCACCAAATCCTGATGAGAGTAAGTCTAATTTGGGGTATTTTTCTTGGATTGTTCCATGACGCAGCAGAACAAATGTGTTAGTTTTTATTCCATTTTTTTTTTTTGCACGCTGCAGTCCTCCATCTTGTCATTTAAAATAAAACACACATATTTGACCCCTGCAGAATCTACTGATAGCCAATACAAGAGAGGTATTCGGCTCACAGTATATTTATCATTTTGGTTGTACCTTGCAGTTGTGTATGCCCTGCATGATACTGGAAAGTGTTTTTTTTTTTTTTCTAAAATCAGTTCCAGATCATCTGGTTAATAGTTAATACATATTCTTTTTCCATTTGGTACCTTGTTCTTGTTTGCTAGAGGTCAAAACAAAAATTCTTATGGCGGCCAATTGTCAGGTGGTGCATTTGGGGCTGGAGCGGTAGCGCCCCACCAAAGTCGGCCGATTGGCCTCATTTTTTTTCTTTCTATCATACGTCATTGCTTTCCATTGAAATGTCCCAAAGAAGAATATTTGTTGTTTTGACAATGAAAACAAAATACAATGTGGAGATGCTGTCTGTTAAACGGACAGAGTCGCTCTTTTGGAATTAATGCAGAGCAGTGATTCTCTCTGTTGAATTAGCCAACCTGTTTATTTGCAAAACATTGCACTACATTGGAGACGTTCTTGGATATATTGCACACCTTCCCTCCCCCACCATTACTTCATTTGCATTCTTCATTCCTGCTGAGCCAAACAGAGAGGTGTCAGATGTAACCGCAATGATTTATATTTCATACCGAGTGGTGTGTACGGTACATACTCCTCTGAGATGGCTTTCAGTGCTGTTTGATATTTTCCGTGCGTTTTTTTTAATGGTTTCCTTAATGTGTATCTGACTCACCTTTTAAATTGACCCGTGAGGTTGTTATAATTGCAGCCTCGGAATTCTTCATAGCAACAAGCATCAGGCTGAATAGGTGACGTGACCAGCAATAAGAATCGGAGAAATTGCCTAGAATGACTTTGCTTGTGTCTGCCCATGTAGCAATGAACCATAAATGGTTTGTGTCAGTGATTTTATGATTTACCACTTACTAATGGAATTCTGAAAAAGCACATCAGACAACTAAGAGGGAGTGCTGTAGTTTTCTTTGTGTGTCGTGATTCTCAACATGTAGCCATTCATAATAATGGCATGCACTTATGTTGGCAGTGATGATAAATAGTCACAGAGTACATCTATTTGGCTTCAAGAAAATAGTGTGTTGTGCAAAACGATGCTAGCGTTGGCACTGGAAACAAGCCACAAGTAACTTATTCATAATGGAATGTTTCTGTCACACTAATATCAGTGGATTGAAGTTTTTGGAATGTACAATCAACTAAAAATCAAAAAGAGATGGACCAATTTGTGCAGCTTGTGCGGCTCCAGAGCCGCGGGTTGCAGACTCCCGGGTTCTACTGACTTGTTCTAACAAATGTCACAAACATTGTTTTTTTGGCTCCTCGTTGCAAACACCTTTAATTATGTTCTCAAACCACAATTTTAAATATTTTTGTATATCAGTGCCATGCATAATTGAATAAATTTGATATATTTTCCAAATTGTTGTTCATTGATGAGGGAATAATCTATATTCACGATACAAATTGGACCAGCACGACAGAATAGCAAATTTACTATACAGTGGCTACAAAATGATTCTGACCACAGCTTGCGTTTAAGCGCCGCTAGCATTAGTCGGATATCAGCTGTCATCCCCATCATCTGTCTGACATTGCCTTCTCACCATCGTATTTCCCTGCAAGGGATTTAATTCCCAAACCGACCTCTGGAGACTGGCACTGCATAACCTAACGCCAATTTATATCTAATCCATGTTGCAAAAAAACATTTTTTAAGTCAGTGCTTCCCCAAACTTTATACAGCCGAAGAAGCACATTATGGCCCACCACCATAAAAAAAATGTCACAAAAAGAATACGTACTGAAGTAATCTTAATCATCTCCATTTACTTTACGCAGTGACATATTCAGTGTGAAATCTGGGCCCATTTCGTTCAACACAGTTCTGTTGTGTGAATGGCCATCTCGTGGAACAGCGTTTAACTGTCATACATCCTCCCTGGCATAAATAGATGGACAAAGATAGATTTATTTATTTTTTTTTTTGGTTGCTGTTAATTGGCTTGAGAATGTTTATTGACAGTTGGGCACCACCCGCTATATGGGTACATGCTGTGTGCTGCCGCTACTTCTTTTTTTTTTTCTGAGGAAATTTCGAAGATGGAAAACAATTTGTCCAAAAAAATGGCCCCGTTGAGCCTCCAAGCTTGTCCTGTTCCTTCCCACGAGTTCATTATATTCACCAGTCGCAATTTTGGCATTCCCCTGCCACCTCATTCATCTTTTCTCACACCTCCATCTCATTGATATCAGGCCATTGATGTGGATCCCCTGTTGTAAAAAAAGGGATGCTCCCGGAAACCTCGTTGAATTTCCTTTCCCGCTGATCCCTTAATGGCCCCTTGCTTAGGGAAACATCGATCCGCTTCCCGGTACACAAACGAGGCTTCGAACTAGTCCATGTGTGCCGTTGCCACACATAGCTGCATGGTATCTCATCTGAAATACAGATCAATGTTGTGTATGTGCGTGCGTGTGTGTGTTTGTGTGTGTTTGTGTGTGTGCGCGCGCGTGTGTGTGTGTGTTTGTGTGTGTGTGATATATGCACATCAATCAGTGACTGCTGCAAATGTCAGGATTCTTCATTAAACGCAGATCTCTATCTGTCACTATCCAATTTCATTAAGAAAAGTCAGGCCAGGACATGAACGAGGGATCGTGACATGGACGCTCTCACTAGGACCGCAAATCTCCTTTTTGATTGAGTCGTCGTATAAGACGAGTTAAACGAGATTGAATTCCCGTGTGTACTTCTGGCTTTCTTCCACATTCCGTCCAAAAAAACGTATGTTAGATTCAATCAATAGTCTTAAATCAGGGGGTGTCCAAACTTTTTCTTCCAAGGGGCACAGACTAGAAAATTGAAGGATAAAGGGCCACAGAAGATGCTCAGTGGGTTACATTGTACTCATTTACAACCATTATATTAAATTTTTAGCTCTTTATTATTTTTTGGAAAGGCATCATTTTCGATCCAGCTTTTGTATTGAATCTCGAAAACAACATATGCGTATATGTCAAACGAAAAACATAACTGACACTGTAGGGTGTTGAACCCTTCTATTTCTGTCATCACTAATTGCTTCATAATTACATCACGTGGCCCCTTTCATGACTGCGGGTCCGGCGTTCTCGCCTTAGGATCTTGTCCTTCACCTTCCTGCTTTGTCCTTCCGCCCCCCCGCCCCCTTCCCTCCAGTACTGTATTCTCAGACTGAAATGCTAATGCTAATTGCAACCCATTTGCACATACCGATTTAATGCGAATATACGTACACACACATGGACTCGGTGTGATTTTTTTTTATTTTTTATGTAGAAGCCAACGTGTGTTATATTTTTAGCAACATGACCTAAGTCACATTTTCAGCCGCTTAATTGCATTGTATCTTGTTTTGATATCGGGGGTTATTGGCCTTGTCCACCTCTCATTGTCATTACCCTGACTGATGATGCGACGGGCGATGTATTCTGCCACGAAAGGTCAAAAGTCACTGATGAGTGGTTTCCCCAGAGAAGGGTCAGTAGCGCCAGTGGCCTTCTCACTCAGCTTCCCCTGCGAGAGAGTTGAGAAGTACAACACAGTCTTAGACAGATAATACATGCAGGCCTTTGTACGGTTGGAAAATTTCTATCAGGTACTACATTTGCCTGAAATTAAAGGGAAAACATGCTATTTTCTTTTCCGTTCGCCATAACTGCCATTACAGGTCACCTCTTTCCAGGCGTTCAGAAAATTCAGTTGTATCAAAATCTTTATTCAAACACTGGAATTTGGAATAAATTACAAAACTGCTGTTGTATAAAAGCACTAATAATAACAATACATGCTTGGACTCAAACAGACAAAGGAAGCAAAGGGTTGTAAAACAGTACTAGTTATATCCGTAGCTGCCATGTTTAATGTGATCAAAATATATCGAGTGTGGCATAGTTGTTCGTCTATGTGTGCGAGCACATAGAGCGCATTTCTAATCCGCTTATCCTCACGAGGGCCGCGGGCATGCTGGAGCCTATCCCAGCTGTCTCCGGGCATTAGGCAGGGGTGCACCCTGAACTGGTAGCCAGCCAATCGCAAGGCACACAACAACCATTTGCGATCACAATCACACCGAGGGACAATTTGGAGTGCCCAATCAACCTACCATGCATGCTTTTGGAATGTGGGATGAAACCAGAGTACCCGGAGAAAATTCACACAGGCACGGGGAGAGCATGCAAACTCCACACAGGAAGGCCGGAGCCAGAATCGAACCCTGCACTGTACACTGTGAGGCCAACGTGCTAACCTGCTGACCACCGTGCCGCCATATATGTATGTGTGTGTGTGTGTGTGTGTATATATATATATATATTCCAATTATGCAATTATGATGCAATTCATCTTTGTGTGACATTCAAATGTAGAAATGAGGACTTTTAGTCTCCTGCATTATTTCACGTCGTCTGCTGTGCCAAACTGTAACTGCTCCCTGCTAGAAAATGAGTCCACAAATAAACACACACACTGTGAGATTTCACACAGGGTGACGTGAGAGAAAAATTCGACTTCTTTTGTTATCGTTATCATTTCGAAACTTGTGAGTATTCAGTGCAGTGCATTTGTATCAATTATGTGTCACAGTTTGTAACCGCAATTTGGTCCATCACATTCTGGTGTATTTTCCCCAATCACGATTCGATGGCTGCCCCCACTTTCTTAACACTGTCACTTCTGAGTCATCAACTCAACAGCTCAGGAGTTTCACAGTTTAATTGCAGTCTTCTGTTTGGGGGGCTGAAAGCAACTCCCACTCACTGAAGGCAGCATGCCAACACTCCCAACACCTTCTACAGAAAGAAAGTGGTCTCTAAGGCTGTTTTAACAAAACAAAATGCTTTTGTTTAAAAAAAAAAAAAATCATACAGTTCTTGCTGAAGAAACTAACTAATCAACAACTTAAGACTCAACCTGTGATCAATAGATCATTTTTCTCCTACGTCTCTCACATGCGATAAACGCCCATTTGTACCCTTGAGCAGTTGCGGACATGCGGGAGGGAGGCTAAGGACACACAAAGTCACTTGGATACACTGAAGTTGACATACGTGTAATGTATGTAATGGAGCTGGGAACAAGCTGAGTCATTAACACTGATGTGAACCACTTCAGCTATTCTCGGCAGCCATTAAAAATGGCTTTCCATCTAGAAAAAAAGGCATCCAGTGAATGGGTAGCAAGAGGGGTTTCAATCAACAGTGACACGTCATGTTAAATTATAGCCACCCGATTATCGCGTCCTTTCCCCAAGGATTTAAAAGGAATGTGTTTAAAAAAAAAAGATTAGTGCATTGATTCTTTCATGTTTTGTAGACATACTGTTGGGTTATGAAATGTTCTATTGGGAGTTGAAATGAAGCAAATGGAGCGCGCTACTCGAGCTGACTTAAGTAGCGGCACTGAATAATTCATCCCAGGCTCAAACTGTTGCCACCATAAAAGCTTTATTAACTGTAGAGCCAGTGTATTAATCATAATAATACTCATTCTATTTTATTATTGACAATAAAGCATTCAAGCAATTATTTAATGAGATAAATGAAGGCGTATAAAACACCAATTAATACAAATTATATGAACCAATGATGGAGGGCAAGGGAGGGGTAACCTTAATTGTTACAATCAATATTACACACTTCTTGATGACTCTGATGGGTTAAAGCAGAGGTGTTAAACATACGGCCCGTGGGCCGGAACCGGCCTCCAAGGAGGTTCGATCAGGCCCGCAGGATAACTTAATAGTGAAGAAATGTTTCGACCAAAAAAGAAAGACATATTATTTTGGTTATTTATAGCAGAGTATGGTGAGATTTTAATGGTCCGGCCCACTTGACATCTACCGAGGTCATATGTGGCCGACAATGTGATATGAGTTTGACAGCCCTGGGTTAAAGAATAGAGTGGAACATATTTTGTCATTTCCTGCTTTCGATGCTGACTGAAATTTAAAGTCCCAGGAGATTACAGAAAGTTTTGTTTCACTTTTAAGGCCTTTCATTTGACAGAAAATCTTGAATTCTATCTTGCGCCACTTTTGCTGCCGTCGTAACAGACAAAATGTTGATAGGAAAGACTTCTTTTTCAGTCCATTCAACTTTTTTCGGTTGGCCTCTAATGTGAGAGGCTTAAAACTTTTTGGTTTTTTTCGGTTCGCAAAGCGCACCAATTCGTACTTTGTCGATATAGCTCATAATAATGTTTGGGCTATTTAGAGCTGAGACGTGGGCGTATAAATTGCTGCAAGAGGGATTACAACTGCTGAAATGGCAAAGTGGTATTGATACCTGCGCCTCCTAATCAGAATAAATTGATTTAATAGACTAAACAGAGTACCTCTTCCATCAAGGCCTAAACATTTGCCTGTGAAACCACCAAGTGAGCATCTGGCATCTTAATAGCGACTGTAAGTTCAGGTTACACGCAGATCCACCTGGATTGTTTTCGCATCCAAGAGGACGGAAAATAATTATATGTATAATTATGATTCCTACACAAGCACAAATTATATCTTGATCTGGCGAGATTCGACAGAGATTTAAAAAGCTTGGGAACATATTAGTTTGGATTGTTCAAATTAAACTTCAGAATGAGGCGAGACTGGATTTCATTCAACCATGATGGAAGGCAGGAAAGTTTGTGGCAAAAGAAATAAATAAGGACCCGAACATTTGCAATTAATCTTTTGAAATGCTGTCATAAAGAATCACTCTCGAGCTTTTTAGGGGTCGAGGTGGGGTTATAAATCAGTGCCGCCCCCTCTGTAGCATAGACACTTCTAGCCCGTACGTACATTATGTACTTGTATGTGTGTGAATTGTTGTTTGTTGGTAGGTGCTCCGCGATTGGCTGCGCCCAATCAGTTTGGATGGGCTCCAACTCACCCGCAACTTCCAATGAGGAAAAGCACAATGGAAAATGGATGGATTCGTAAACTTCTGATTCAATGACCAGTTGTCCGCTTCTATCATTTTGCCAGTCTTTCCTCCTTTACCACCATGCAAATGTTGCGTACACTCATCTAATTCCTACCGACGCTTTCCATTCAATAACATCTCTCATTTTGTTTTTTGTTTTTTTTTTTACCAAAGTGCGGGGCCATCCCATCGATTTTATGTCTCTGGCTTGATCTGTCCTGATCCCGATTGCACTGCAAATACCTTCCCCTTGCCCGCATTCTTGTGATGAGGTCAGCTTTGAAAACATGCCACCTGGACTCTCGACCAGTCAATAAGCAGAGCAAGCACACAAAGGATCGGTCATATATTTACAGAGAAGAGACGGAGAACTGAAAACGAGGCGCATCGGAAAGGTTAAAAAAAATGATAATAATAAGTTACAGTACAGTGAAGGAATCTGTTTGCGTCATGGTGCCCCGACTTGAAGCTGACAGTCACAGAGAGGGAGAGCTGACGGACCGTGATGCAGAAGGAAGAAGGCTGAGAGTGACAGTGGAGGAAACCTTTCCTGATAAAAGCTGATGTTTATCATCTTGTTTTGCGTGTGGGTGACATGCACGACTGAAACAAAAAGTACCGTATTTTCCACACTAAAAGGTGCACTGGATTATGAGGCACACTTTCAATGAATGCCCTATTTTGTAATTTTTTTTCATACATTCATATATAGGACGCAATCTGCAATGCATCCACTAGATGGAGCTATCCTCAAGGAAATGCGCACAGAACGATCAGATGTCAGTAAAACGTATTTAATAAAGCAGCGACACAGTTCACTTCGCCAACAGCAAGTTATAACATCGGCTCGTTAACGTTGAACTCTCTTGCCGCTGCTCTATTTCCGTGTTCAACTGCGAAACCGATCGCCTTAATTTTGAAATCTGCGTTGTAAGCTTGTCTCTAGCATGGAGCCATTTTGGGGTTGACATATTACCGTAATGACCATACACAAGGCGCATCGGATTTTAAGGTGCGCTGTGAGCTTTTAAGAAAATGGAAGGCTTTTAGGTGCGTCTTTTCGTGCGGAAAAATACGGTACACTACATTGATTTGCATCGAGACAACTCTCATCTTGGCATCTCAAGCTAATCTTTACAGGATATAGGGAGAGCAAGGATCACATTCCTTATACTGTACATTAAAAAGAGTTGATGTTCAACGTATAGCGAGTGAAAATCAAAAAATATATCTCCATACCCATTCATGCACAGTGTTTTGATGTGGTTCTTCCACACCAAATTCATCCAAGCATTACCTTGCTTGTTAGCGAGTTAATTTATCCGTTCTCCGCGCGATATAAATTGACGTCAAATGGTGCCTCCGCCATATTTGCCGTCTTTCCTTGCGCTGTTGTTTTAGTGGCTGACGCGCTCTCCATCGTTTTATAACTCAGCAGGAAACTTTTCCCCCCCAGCTCATTTAATTTCGTCTCCATCCTTCCCTTCCTCCCTCTTCTGCCACTTTGGAAACAATTTGAAGCTGGTGAGAGGCCTGCCTGCGCGCGTCGCCATAGCAACGCAGTATTAATGGTGGCAACAGGCGTGACCTGAAGATTCCGTTTGAGGGCGAGAGGGACGGGAGTGTGAAGCCACAGCTCAATTGATTCTTCAGTATCGCCCTTCCAATTTGCTTTCCCGGCACTTGTACTGATTCATCAGCATGTGCGCTTTTCCTTTCTTTTCCCGGCAGCCAATTACAAGGCTCGCTGGACACCTGACAGAGCAAGTTGGCCTCCTCTGCTTGGTAACCGGGAGGGGGAAATCTAATCTGACTCCTGAACATGCACACAGAGAAACACGCCTGTTTTCTATTCTGGCTGTGACGGTGGCGCTGCTGTGACCTCATGACAGGTTGCTATGGTTACGCTCCTCCATAACCTTACACCCCTGTGAGTTTAAAAGTCCAAAAACATCTCCAGCAATATAATATATGTGAATGAAAACTGGATGAACAGAGTGGCCACCGTTTTTCACCTTTAGTCGTTAGATGTCGTGGAAAAACACACGCATACTTTGCGTCATCTACAATATGCTTTTATTCATTAGTTTGGTTGTATTTTTTTCCCCCATTCTTTGTTCCTTATGCTGTTGGTATTTTCTTTATGGTATTCATTCCAATTTTTTTCTACTTATTGATTGATCAGGCTTCATTCTGTACTGGTCCCCAAAGCCCAACTCCCTTAACTGTCACATATCTTTCGGTTATTTGTAAAGGTGCTATACAATTCTAGATTTCTTTCTTCAAGGGTGACATGAAAGAAAAGGTAAAAGTAGACAGAACAGGACCGTGCCAAGATAAATACAATCTGCCCAACCTTCCTTCCCAGTCCAAATTGAAATATCATAAAAAATAGAGAAATAAATCAATGAATGAACAGTCTTCAATTAAACTGCCTGCCACACCCTTGAAAGCGGAAGGCCAGTGGAATTAATTTTTGTCTAAATAAAGAGGAGGACGGTCCGCCGGGTTAATGATGGCATTCTGCGTCGTTCTATTTGTGTGCCGTTATCAGATTTTTGTTCGACAAACTCAGTCGTCACATTGGAACATAAATTACTTCAAAACAACTGTTGCCGCTCGGTCTCTTGTTTTGACTTTCACGGCTGAGTGAAAGACAGCAACCATCTTGTTTGTCTTTATGAAGTTGAAGCCGGAGGCCTGGTGTTACTCTCGGATTGATTTCATGCCAGTTGTATGTGATTCTCTGGAGTGTCTGAGTCAGGTTTGTCCATTCTCCTCAGGAACAAAGGCCGAACTGGAGGATCTAATGGCAGACATCAAGAAACTGGCCAACAAAGTGCGCTCCAAATTAAAGAGTGAGTTCAACAAATGCCCCAATGAGATGTCAATCAGTCCACATTTTTGGAAATTGAATTGAAGCAAAAATTGTTGCCAAAAAAAAAAAAAAGTCTTTCAAATCAATGCAATGGCGTGATAGCGATATTCATTTTGATATACATACAGGTATATTATTAAATATGCATTTCCTTTTTTAGGGGGGTGTCTATTTCTCATGTGTATCTTTTTGTGTTCCAGGCATTCTGCACACTATCGAGCAGGAAGAAAGTCAGAACACGTCGTCAGCCGATTTGAGGATACGCAAGACACAGGTCGATCAAACTCAATATACTGTTGAGATTATTTTTTTAGATTATTATAATATCATTCATCATCGTATCATATTGGACTGACATCTTAAATCAGTTGTTCGTGTGTCATAAATGATGAAGTGGAAACAAAAAGCGAGTATTCAAAGAAAGAAATGTGCATTTAAAAAAAAATAAATGTGTAAATGGCAATGACTATTCATATTATATACTTTAGTCAAATATTCCAATGAAGACATTTTGAAACAAAACAGAGCATCGGCATCATCATCATCACAGTTGTCATAATAATGCCATGGATGTGAAGAATCTCAGTGACTTGACAATTAAAACAAGACATCCGTGCAAAATAAAAGTTCTCTTTTCATTTTAATATTTACAATACATAGTGCATACATTTTATTTATGAATGACTGAACTATGTGTAATACGTCTTTAGAATACGCAGACATTTGAAATTAAAACGTCAATCCTACATGGCTCTGTTTTGTCCCAGCACTCCACATTGTCCCGCAAGTTTGTGGAGGTGATGTCCGAGTACAACACCACCCAGTCGGACTACAGGGAGCGCTGCAAGGGCCGCATCCAGAGGCAGCTGGAGATCAGTGAGTCTAGAACCCCATTCCAGTAAGCCACGCCAACATCGCTCTTAATCGGTGGTCACTTGGTCACCGTCGACCAAGGATGTCACATCGCTCGGCCCTGCTGTATGGGGTATCCAAATCATGTTGGTCCTCGAGGGCCACGATCCCTCCTCCAACACACCTGATTCAAATATTTAGGATCATCATCGGGTTTCTGCTGACCTTGTTGATGAGCTGATCTGAGCGGTGTGGCTCTGAGTTTACATCAAAACCGTTGCCGCACCAAGTTTCTCTGCCCTTGAGGTAATCATCCAGCCTGGCTGAAGTTCCAGGGTCACTTCCAAGTAACTCCGCGATGTGAAACACGATCATGCTGAAACACTCAAACCACACGCATGTTCACTGAGAGGTAAACCTTTTTGTGCCATCTGTCAATGTGGGGGAGCTTGTTTTAAATGTGTGCGCGCCACCTGTTAGCGTGCGAAAAATGGCGCATTGTCACAACCATACAAACATGGGCGATGGAATGATTAGACGGTGGACTAAGGCGCACTGATCTGACACCCCCCCCCCCCTATGCACCAGCAGAGCCATTTGATTTGATTTGTCAGCTTGTGGAGCCACGGGGGACCTTAGCTGGTCTCATCTGTTGTAAGGGAAGGGATTTAGACACGGAGACAGAATGGGAACGTCAGGAGAGATAGAAATTTGCAAACATTGAGGGAAGACTTGAGCAATGAAACAAAAATCTTAAATCTACTGTCTTTCCTTCAGATTGACACGATTAATATGGTAAACGGTGCATCATTCACATCTCTGCTGCTGTGCAAATTTTTCAGCAATTGTTTTTTGCGGGTGCAAATTTAGCTTTCCACTCATTCAGTGTCGCTTCACGTTGTGCTGCGGACATGGCGGGATTAAGAGCAAGAGGCAGAGAAGGTCCCCAACCACTGTATACTCCAGTAATGGCCGTTGTTCCCACAGAGCAGAGAGAATATTGGCCTGCTCGTACCGTATGTGGTGCTTCTCTGTGTGACGTTCACTTAGCTTGATGCTAATAAACAATGCTAAATCGCCACAGACAGGCTAGCAAATAGCATCAATATAGCGGCATGACAAGGCTTGAACAACAAATATTTGAACACAAATGCTGCATCAGCATGTCGACAGATAATATAACAATACTATTTTCTACCCAAGATAGTTCAAAGTTCAGCGCGCACATTTTAAAATGTAGCTCACCGTTCCAAAAACGGAACTTTATTTTCATCTTTGCCTCGTTTATTCCTGTAAATTCCAGTTGATTCTCCTTCATCCCGATGTAAGGTTTCTGACATTTTGGGAATTTTCCGGCCGCTACTCACAATCCTTTTGTCCAAGCGGTGTAATGTGAAGCAGCGCTTTAATGACTGACTGACTGTGTGAAAGATCGGTGTCGGTTCATTACATGCCGCAACATGTGGGTCTGATGATCGATAGGTCGCATATTGCAGCTGGAAGCCTGTGGTGTCAGACAGCAGTGTGACTGTTTTCTCGGTTGCTTCCCTTTCCAACACTTCTCTGTGTGTGAGAGGAAGGGATGGGGTGATGTTTATGTCTGCCCATGTGTATGATGTGGCTCTTTGCAGTAACACTGTTAAAAAAAAAAAATGGCCATCCCTAGTCTAGGGTTAGGTTAGACAAAATTAGACAAAAGCAATTGCTTTAGGTTCATATTTCATAATGTACATCCATGGGCGTGGTTATTGATGTGTTTTGCAATTGACAATAAAATGACTGGCCAATCCTATTTATTTGTCACTGCTCCGATGTATAAATATGTAAAAATACAACACAGTGGTACCTCTACTTACAAAATTTATATGTTCTGGAAGAAATGTCTCAACTAGAAAATTTTGTAAGTAGGGACGTGTCTTCCATGTAAATGCCCTAATCCGTTCCATGCCCCCCAAAATTCAGACATAAATGTTTTCTAAAGCATAAAAATATGTAACAAATACATGTTACAATTAGATTGTTGCACGATAAATGAGTTGCGTATAATGTAAAAATAATAATAATAAAGAATAAAGATGATGGTCATTTAACTTTTAACTGCTTCTTCATCGTTTTTTGCCCTCTTTAGTTCATGTTCTCTCTCAGAAGTGGTTTTTGCCTGGCGTTTTGTAAAGAACTGATCCAAGGACGTTTGCTGTTGTCGGCTTTTAACAATCCTTCGAAAATGTCCAAGGCAAACATCACCGTAGTGAGCGATCGCCCGACTGATGAACATTTTTTCTGGGTGATTGACATTTACATAAAACTATCGGAACACCTCATGGCCCGAGGGGCTAATGACCAGGACGCTGCATCGACACATATCTACACATAGACACACAGGATAGAGCAGCTACACGTATGTTGCGTTCAGGAAACTCAGAGCTGCGAGTAGCAGCCCACACTGTATTTTTACCTTTTGTATCTTGAAATTTCTTTCATAACGAGGCAATATTTTCCGATTGAGGAGTTTCGTAACTTGAAAATTTCATATGGAGAGACGTTCGTAAGTAGAGGTACCACTGTGTTGCTTTTTTTTTTCCGTATACAGTATCGTGAGCTTTTTTTTTTTTTTTTTTTAAATCGCCACCTTATCGTAGCGTGAGGTTCATATCATAGGTGAGGGGGTGAGGGTCAGGGTCAGTGCTCGAAGCAAGACCCATGTTTGGTGTCAAAAACATGACACCAGACAAGAGTGGAAGCAGTTACATAGTCGAAGGGGTGACCAACTCCATTTTTTTTCCATTGTAACATACGAGGGTCCTAATGCATTTTCCTCAAAATAGTCTACCTATCTTGCAGACTAAAATGAACTCCTAAAATCATGACATGTTGCGCCATTTGATTGTCATATTTAGGAGTTGAAATACCATCTCAGCTTTCCTAATCAGAAGATCTGGGTTCGACTCGTTGGAACATCTCTGTGGTGTATGCGCGTTCTCCCCAGTGCAGTGTGCGCCTTGCCTCTCTCCTAAAGTCAGCCGGGATACACCGCAGCTCACCTGCGGCCCCGAGAACGACTCGCAGATACAGTATGTTGAACTTGTGAACTGACAAGTGCTTGAAGGGTCATTCCTGTACGTTTAAAAATGTGCCAATGGCCGTGAACAAGCTGGCTTATCATTATTGGTCGCAATATAAGATGAATTTTTAAATAATACGTCAACGATAATGGAAAAAGCCAGTCCTGTGAGGCTTGGCATTTGGCTGCAGAGGGTTTGGGTCGCCATGGTAACAATTAACAGCCTGCCTCAGAGTCTTTGCGGTGCTTTAAGAGTCGCGTGGTGTCGACATGGACTGGTGGCAGTGTGTGTGCGCATTTATTATGTATTTGGGGTCAACCACTCTGAATGATGTGACAAAGATTAAGATTAAAGGTGAGGAAATGGGATGAAGACGATAGAGAAGAGATGAAGGATCACGTAATAAAAACTGTGTGTGTGTGCGTGCGTGCCTGCGTGTGTGTATCATTGTCACTATTGGTCATGATTCTCTTGCTCCGTCCTTCAACTCAAGCTGTGACCCTCCTGATGTGGAAATGGCAATGACATGCAAGATTTATCGCCGCTTCAAAGAATTTATTAAGGATAGCCATACTTGGTAGGGAAAAAAAAGGGGCGGGGGGGGGGGGGGGAGTCAAACACAGATGTAGAAAAGAACAAAGGGGAAAAAAATACCCAATCATATAATTGTATTAATAAATTAAATATGAGAAAGGCTCAAATGGCAATATTTATAATAATTCAAACACAGGATAAAATGATGATTAATGATAAGCATTTCAGAAAATGAATGTATGGATTCGCAATTGAGCAATAAACTCATGAAACGTATATCAAAAAAATGAGACAAGGAATAAAATGAACTAATGGCCAAAAAAAAATACCCTATCATATATTTATAAATGGGGTAAAATGTCAACATTAATAAAAACCAAAATCTGGTACAACAGAAAAAAAGACAAGGAATAAGAATGGTCTCAATGAAAAAAAATAAACATGATTGGCATGAATATTTTCTAGATCTTTTTTTTTTTTGCACTGAAGCGAGTGGTGCCATTCATTTTGGCCCACATGATCCAGTTTTTTCTGTTACATGCTATCCAGAGGTGGAAAGTTGGAGTCCAGAAAGTTAAAGCCCTGCCACAGCTGCTTTGACTCAACCATATTTCGATGTTGTCTTGAATGCTGAAGGTTCCGCATAGAGCTAACTGAAAAGAGCATAATGGTTGTGGGTTTAAAACTATTCAGACTTTCCATTGAACATGCAAAACTCTGATTAATGAGTTATTTGGAGAATGTTATTGTCATTGCTATATATTTCAAATTTATCCGTTCATAGTTTGTTGGATATCTATATGCTTGGGGTGATGTTTCTCGACATTGCCTACTTTGATTACCTTTTGGCCTCATGGAGACTTTGCTGACTGGCCGTGACTTGCCTCCTCACTATCACGCCCAGGAGAAGACCCGAATGTAGCTGAGCTAAGAGCTATCTGGACTTTAAAAAAGGAGGACACTTCTGCGGAGGGCCATTAAGGCGGATACTGTACATTGCAACTCTTTCACGCTTTGTAACATGCAAAGTCAGCTGGACCGTCTGGTGATGCGCTTGAAGACTCCTGTATGCTTACACACACTGGAATTTTTAACTATTCCCCAACATTAACCATTTGAGGAGAAATACTGAAAATATTGATCGTCACAACTTTGTCCAGTACCTTTGTGAACAAAGTTCAACATTCAATGAACGATTGAGCGATTGATACAAACACAATTCACTCCACAACAAGCAGCAGTTTGATGGCTGGTGGGCAATTCTTTCAAAACAGAAGCTTCAACTTGTTTCTTGCCACAACTAATTGGAATTTACTGTCAAACAAATCAGAATAAGAAGTACATGTTGTGTATTGAGAACAAACACACACGTTTGCCTTGGGAATCTCCGCTTGCTTGATGCTAACGCACAATGCAAAGCGCACCTAGACAAGCTAACAAAACTAGCGTTGATGTTGCAGTAATTGTCAAATTGCAAATTGTAAGGTTTTATGAGTGGTTGAGAGGTTCCATTGCACTGTCAGAGTGACGCAACACGCCGGAAATAGCCAACCAGATGCTGACACCAAGCATGAGCAACAAGTTGAACTGAAATACCTCAAGTTGTTCTTTTGCGCTGCTCCTGCGCGTTCTGTCTGTCCTGAATTCCGACACCAATTATTTTTAAATCACATCCTTCACCGTCCAGGGGATGGAGGCTAATTAAAAAGCGGTCCAGTCAGATGGCTAAAGAGCAAATAGAGAGGCTAACACATTTCCTTTTCATCAATTTGAATGATGTAGAGAAATGGTCATGAATTAAACAGCGAGGAGGGTTTGAAGACGACTTTGATTGAAGTAACTTACTTTCTGGGTTCCTTCGTAATTGTCTCTTCCACTGTGTGTTTTGGTGCTGCCTAGCTGGAAGAAATACAACAAACGAGGAGTTGGAAAGCATGCTCGAAAGCGACAATCCTGCTATCTTCACGTCAGGGGTAAGCGATGCAACCCAATGCCGAAATGAATGGCAGTTTAGAGAGTGATGACCTCGGCCAAGGCCAAGTTGTTCACCCTCATCACGTTTATGGCCAAGTTTGCTCATTAAATTTCACACATTTCACTGAGACATGATGGAAGACACAGACAAAATGATAAAGGAAATCATGCAAATAAAAAAAGAAATGTGTGGAAAATTCTTCCCGAAAAGTCCTGGAAATTTTGAAAAAGTTGAGAAGAAAATCTGTGCAATCGAAAGGAAAATGTGTGAATGTGTAAACTGAAAAAATATCTAGTAATTGAAGAACGTGGGGAAAACAACAAAGCAAACCCTGACAATTTCTGCAAAACTCTTGAAACTCCTGGAAAATATGGAAAATCCTGAAAATATTAAGGAAAATAATAGTGAAACAAATCCTGGAAATTATAGAAAATTTGAAAAAAAAAACAAGGAAACAAAAGAATCATTTTCTTTTATTTCCGGCCAGGAAGGCCGGAGCTGGAATCGAACCCGCAACCTCTGCACTGTGAGGTCGACATGCTAACTAGTCCACCACCGGGCCCCCCAAAATAAAAAAACAAATAAATAAAACATTTCAATTTGAATGAAACTAGGGGACAAATGCCCTCTAAATCCCATTAAACCTGAATTGGAATACGTGTCCACAATATTGTATTGAAGTATTATCTGCTCAATCCTACTGAGAATCCAACTAACTCCAATTAAAACAGAACCTCCTAATAAACAAACTACAATTTCGCCTTTTTTTTGTTTGTTTGTTTGTTTGTTTGTTTGTTTGTTTGTTTGTAAAGATCATCATGGACAACATCACCCAGCAGGCCATGAACGAAATCGAGACGCGGCACAATGAGATCATCAAGCTGGAAAACAGCATCCGAGAGCTTCACGACATGTTCATGGACATGGCCATGTTGGTGGAGAGCCAGGTGCAAATGCTTATCTTCTATCCATCGTGCGTCGTCGTGCGTCAGACAGACTAAAGTGTGCGGGATGCAAAAGTCCTCGAGGTGTCACAATGGTCAAATGTTGACATGCGGATTAGCCCGGTGCTCTTCAGATCAACTGTAAATGACACAAGCAGAAATCTGTGGAGAATGTTGGTAAGTTAGGAAAAGAAGAATTCAAGTTCCACTGCACCGTGCACACGAAAGGAAGACAATCCAGCGTTGCTATGACAATGACAAGGCCCCGATTTTTCTCCCTCTGTCAAACTGACTTTTCACTTATAGGGAGCTTTCACGCAACGACAGGATATGAACACGTTGTCAGCCCGACACGTTTTCTCCATGCAGTTTACATTCGTGCTTTAATTGTAAATGGTTATGAAATGAACTAACCTTTCTATCATGAAATGCTTCATAATTGTGTGAATTTTCTCCCTCCCTTTACCGTTAATATTCCTTGTTTCTATTCCTCATTTTTCCACACATCAATGGCACTAAGCGCTAGAGAACACTGCAGCCAGCTAACGCACAAAGGTAATTGACTCCTTTTTTCTTCTGTTCACTTTGGGGGAATCAACGTTGCTGTCCATGCAATCTTTTGTTCATTCAGCCTGTTGCTTGGAATATTTTAAAAGGGACTTGGATTCCGATACAAACGAGTTTTGGTCCTGTGTATTGTGAATGTAGGACGATATAAAACCTCATTGTTAAAATGTTGTGAGATGACTCATGATACGCATTTGG